TATATATATATATATAATTGGTTTTTAACTATAACAATCTCCAGTGCCTGGTGTACAGCAGGTTGTCTTGGTTTATATTTTAACAAGAAAAAAGGACAATAATAATTAATAATGATTAAGTTTGATAATTCCATAATTAGTATATTAATTAATGGTATATTTCTTTGATCTTTCCTTCTCCCATTTATATTCTCCTTCTTCAACCTTAACCAAAATATAATTCTTAATATTTTCAATATATAAATGTTTAGATATATGCATTTTTATATTTATACAGATAGTAATAATCTCTGTGTATGACTTTTTTTAGCTTATATTATTCTTATAATCATCATCTCATTAGTTCAGCATGCATCCTATTTTCGTAATTTTTGTTTACACTTAATTTTCCTTATATTCAATCCAACTCTTATCAGTTTTAATTTCTTCATATGTTAGTTATCTAACTGTCCAAATTTTCCCATTTAAGTACATCATCCCATTATAAAAATACTATACTTTTTTATCTATATCATAGTATCTAGATATAACATCCTTTTTAATCATTTTATATTTCACTTATATTAATAAAAGTTACATATCAACCTGCTATACTGTACATTTCATATATTATGGAACATACTATATTACTTAAATCTCTTATCCCTCTTGTTATAGGGCCCCTTTATGTTCAAAGTTCTCTATTCTTTGAGCCATATTCAAACACATGTTTGTTCACATAATAGTCCATCTGGTAGGGCAAGTCAAATCTCTTGTATCTGTCTCTGGTCTTCTTCTTTTGCCGAGTAGTTTTCCAAGTTGATATAATCTGCTTACCCGGCATTCCTGTGTTTTTACAAATGTTGTTGGGAATACAAAAGATGAAGTAAGTAAGATGAATACTTTCTGTCTCCCAAACATTGTTGGTTCTGCTGGTAATTCTATAGTCCATTCCATTTTTCTTCTTCTATCAGAACCTTGTAGATTTTTTCCTGTTTGTGTTAAATTGTAATTCTTTTCATTTATTATTTCATCAATTTGATCATATTCTTCTAATTTGTAGTGTGTTATCTAATTTATTTGTTCATTAATTGTTATTTCCTGGGTGTTTTTTAATTGCATATTTGGATTGGAAATATGCTTATTTAAATCATCAAAGTTGTTTCTAATTTCCTCATGGTTTGAGTCTATTGTCATTTGTATTTGTCCTAACATTACATATATTTCCTCCTGGAAAGTATTTATCTTGCCTTGAAGTATTACTTCTGGAGGCTCTTGATTTTCCAGGCAAAGTCCTTTAGGAGAAAATATTGAATGTGGCGTCCTGTCATTTTTTGATACGTATGTGATATCCATGTTGTCTCCCCCCTTCAAATAATTTATCAGTCAGTCAAAATTACAGTTCAGTGTGTTAAGCCACTTTAAATCCTTCCTGTAGATTCTCCTCTAAAAGATTAGCCAAAAACCAAGGTTTTTCTTTTCCATAAACAGTTCTTGGATTTAAGCAACAGTCCAGGTGGTGGTTTTTTTCAGACACTTTTTAATCTTATAGCTGGCTCTTCCTTTGTTCCCAGCTGTCTTCAAGGTTATTTGCAGTTCAAAGGAACAGCTTTTTCTTTATTTCTAGGCATTGTGCCAATTTCTGAGTCCTTATTGTTAGTATTCTATGCTCTGATTCTCCACTAGATGTCAGCAGTTATTTCTTTTTTCATTTTTTTTTCAATCAAAAAGTTATTTTTGTTATATATTTTTATAATTCCATCAAAAACTCTTTAGGGTATAATCTTGACAGTTTCTTAGTTTCTAGATTTATCCAGACTGTAGTATTTTAAATCAAATTTTAGTATATCTCTTTCCTCCTTAATATTAGTTCACCGCTTCCGTCTAAGAGGGAATGGGGATATAGTCCCCTACCTTCACTTCCAGAAGTTTTCTTGCTTGGGGATCTTTCTCAAGGATTCAATTAGTAGATAGAAGAAAGAAGATCAGTACTCTCACCAATTCCAAGCACGCTGTTCACCGATGTTCATGTTCGTGCTCTGGGAGTTTGGCTGCAAGTAGCTTGGGCTAGATGCTGATCTCATGCTACCCTTTCTCCTGTCAGGTTCGGAGGGCTTCCCCTGGATCAAATGAAGTGACCGCCATCGTTTCATGATCAACGGGGCGCCCCTCCTTCACAGTCACCTCTTTGGGTGACTTAGGACCCATCTACGGTCCCTCTGGCAGGATGAAACTAGCCGTGGGGAGCGGAGGTCCACTCTCGCATGGCCATGCATTATTGGCACAAAACCAGAAGTCCAAAGCTTGCTAGGAAGTTTTAAATGAGCATCTAATGAAATTGATTTGTCTTCCAATTTTCCTTATCAAGTAAGAAGAAAATAAAAAAGACTTTGTGTGTGGGGAGCACAGCTTTTGGTGATAAGAAGTCCTATTATCTGTGGTTTGCACATTAAAGGAGTTCATGTTCTCTATCTTGAACACTTCACTGCAAAGTGTGCTGTGCATCTGATCAACCCATTCCTTACTTACCACTCATGCTTCTTCCAGTTTCTTAATTGTTTCCATAAAAGTAGCCTACAAAAACATACGGGAATAATTTGTTACTTAGATGAAAGGTAAGAAAGATAAACTCATGTTTTCTCCATTCTTTTTCTTTTTGTCTAGTACCCAGCTGCCTTAATGAATTTGGGAGCGATTCTTCATCTTAATGGCAAACTTTTGGAAGCTGAATCAAACTATCTTCATGCCCTTCGGTTTAAACCAGACGATGTCATCACACAATCAAATCTTCGCAAACTCTGGAATATTATGGAAAAACAAGGCTTAAGAACAACCAAAACATAATGCAGGGTTTTTAAAAAATGTTGTTGTTGCTGTTTGCAAAGAGTTTAGAAAACAATTAAAATCCAGACTAACTTTTGGAGTACTGTTTGTTGAGTGCTCTTGCTAACTAAGCTGTAATTGTCAAAGGTAATTGCTGCTAGGAGAACCTACAGGGCTGCATTTTGAGGTTTCTAATTGAAAATGAGAAAGGAGCAGAATCTTTTTGATAAGTTTCATGAAGGACTTAATAATTATTGCCCAAACCCAGAAAATTAAAAAAGAAAACCTGAAACTGGAGCACCTGAAAGGGACCCACTTTAGCATATTCACTAGGGCATATTAGTCATTCTCACTTTGGTCATTTTTATGTGGTTTCTGATAGAAAAGTCATGTTGGCCTATAGAGCATCCTTCCAGTCAAACTAAGAATTTAGGAGAGGATAAAGAGTGGCTTAAATTATTATCTTAGCTGTAATTCATTAAATGTATACTAAAACTAAGTGTGTTTGCTATTTGTCTTGATATTGTATAAATCCACAGACCTGCCTTCTGAGCTACTTCACATACTAGTTCAACTATTTGGCAAAAAAAATTGAAAGTTGTGGTTTCATGTCTAATCTTCACTGGCAAATGCATATTGTCAACCTGTTTGGTTGGTTGGCTGGCTGGCTGTAAATTATCCTCTGAATGTGTAAGAAGCAAGCAACAATGAAGGAGACTTGGAATCTAGAATTAACCATATACAATAGTACAATAGTAATGAAGAATTAAGGCAAGCTCTTTGTCATCTTCTTGTAATCTATTATGCTCCAGAGCCTGAATAGTCAATTACTTTTAAAAGTACAGCAGGTTGCTGAACCCATACTGTACAGTAAATGCTTCTATCTTTCCTTTGCCCTTGTAGAAAATGGGAGTAATCTGTGTTTTAAAACAGAACCTATCCACTGGGTAGGAGAACTGAACCTTGCTCACAACTTCAACTTTGTTATGCTTTGTTCCTTTAGCCAGCTTGCCTTACTTTCAAGATCAGATCAGAGTTAAGCTGGAGAGCCATGTCCATAGTAATGAAATATAAAGTATGGATTTAGGTTTGTTCTTTTCAACAATACATATTTTATTAAAAAGAAATCCATTTGTATACAAACATTTTAAATATGAACTGGGTAGACATATGAAGAAGAAACATGCATTTTCTGCCTTTTAGTACATTGAAAGCAAAGGATAGAACAGTGTAGATGAACATGTTACTAATATTGTTTTTGAAAATATGCAAACACTTGTAGCATGGTTGCATCTGTACATGCTGTAGATTGCATCTGTAGATTGATTACATGATGCATCAAGCACACATAAAGCTAACTACTATCTCCATTAAACTGATACCCAGGTTGCCAGTTTATGTAAATAACTTTCCAAGTAAGTTGTCATTGGATTAACAACAAATTTGTAGGCATGCATTTGGTGAATGCATTTTTTGAAATGTTAGCAGCAGGATTTACCGTTTGTGAAAAATAAACTATTGTGCTATTTGCAAGAAACTGAAAGAGTTTAATATTTAAAAAAAATAGTGAATCCACAAAGTGTTAGACCAAAAGGAATTATGTGACTGACAATAGTTTTTTGCATTTATTATGTTTGCATTTATTTAACTTTATTTATAGATGAAAAGAAAAATGTGTGTAGATTCTAACCCAATTCTGCATTCTTTTCTTAGGTTTAATATTTCAGCTTATTTAGCCTAATTTTTATGATTTGCATAATAGCATTATTTAAAAACTAGACCATTTACCAAATCTTTTTATTAACTAAACAAATTACACTGTAATTTCAAAATGGCATATATCCCCAACAGTCATTTTTAAATCAGTTTGACTGGCACCAAAGAGCTACTGTAGACATATCCAAGCGCTTGCTATTGGCTGACTTAATTTTTCATCTATGAAATATATATCTAATTCTAAATTCATACTTAAAACCACTTCAAATTAAAATGGGAAGAATGGATGATTGTTTCAGAAATAGAGAGCTAGTTCTGTGATCCTTTGCATCCTGGCACTATATCCTGCAGTATCCATAGATTGAAGGTTAGGTGTCTCTAAGAATCCTCCCTATATTAAAAAAAAGTGTTTGTATTGAATATCATTCTATTGTTATTACTTTGGAAGTGATGCATTGTTGAAGGTTTTTATTTGCCAACTGCAGCAAATAGTCATTAGCTAGGATTCCACAACTGTTGCCAGTCTTCTGGTTGCTTTTTATGGTGTGCTTTTAAATGTTTAAAGAATGTATTGGTGTTTAGAAGGAAACAGGAACACATTTATTCTGTGCATTTTAGTCACCCCAACTTTCTATGTAGACTTATTAAGGAACAATGGGCTGTTTTCTCAGCATAACCACAATTTATGTCATCCTTGGTGATACTCTGAGCTTGCTTGGTTTTCCATTAGGAGTACCATTATTAGAAAAATTTTATTATTAGGCACCATCTTTTAATTTCTGTTTTCTTACATTAGCCAATTTTATTTTAGAGCTTTGTGCAGATGAGTGACCTTTCAATTTTTTCCTTTCAAGTGCAGTTCCAGAAACGGTTTTATGGGATAGAAAAAACTAAAATGTTAACCAATGAAATTCAGTGTTCTTACTGTTATGCATTCAGATATGGATAAAAGGCAATGTTAGCTACTGTCTATTTAACTGAACAATGTACTGTTGCATCATTTTCTCAAAATTGTAAAACCAAATGCTGTATTAATGATGAAGATTGAATTTTTAGCATCATCCTATGCATGTATACTCAAGAGTAAATCCAATTAAATTCAGTGGGTCGAACTCCATGGAATTGTGTATAGGATAGCAATTTAACTGTATTAATATGACATTCTGAAATGTTAAACTTCAGCATTGGATGCAAGGTCAACTTCCTAGTTGTAACATTTCACTTTTTATTATACTGTCTCCTTTTTTGTGTTCTTTATTCATAATTACATTTCTTATACACTAGATATCCATGAAGTTGTACAGAAGTTTTGCTTGTCTCAAACCGGACAATAACAAATTGTTAAAATCTTGTTTTTCCATTCATTTTCAGTATAGGGTTAGGCTTTATATCTCTCAGTTTTCAAATAAGTTTAAAATTATTGTCTCTGCTCAGGGATTTGTGGTGGATATTGCAGACAGTGCTTAAAAATAAGAGCACAAATTTACTAAATTAAATTTTTATTTTTTGAGAAAGCATATTTGTATAAATTATCAAGATTTGTAGGGTTTCCTTTTTGTAGAAATAATTGTTTATGTGCCAGATAAGAAAATCCACTTTGTTTTCAATAATAAATGATTGATAACAAATACACCGAATTCACTGTCATCCGTTATTATCAGCACTTAATTAATTTTTATTGAATATACTATATATTAAGTATCATAATAAGAAAGTAATAGCATGTTTATTTTTATTGAAAATGGCTGAACTGACTGTACTATATTAAACCACAATTTAGTTTCTTTGATTTTACTTTATAATGATGTCTGAACCCTCATAATCTATATTCTGTAATTTAGAATTATGGGTGAATTAAGGCATATGACAAATCATGGTTCAAACAAAACATGATTTATGAACGCTGTTATACACTAGCAATTGTGTATAGCAATATTTCTCTGAATATTCCAGAATCTCAAGGTACTCTCTAGTGCTCTTACATGTTCCTCACTGTTTCCTGAAAGAGATTGACGATTTGTCCCTTATTACACTTCAGGGGGGAAAACCCTGAATAATAGGGATGTACTTGTTCACAAGATTCTGGACAGACTTAGATTCAGTGTTTCAGAAAACAGACAAGTCTAATTATGCACTCTATGATTTAATTCAGTGTCAAAGTGGTAAAAGAAATATGTTTTCTATTGATTAGGATGAGGTAATCCAATGGATATAATTTATTTTTTAATCGAGCAAGAAGATCCTGGATATCATTGATGATATAGCTGGTATGAGAGACCCTTATTCAGTTTGGAATGTAATGAAAATATCCCATCCCCCAGATTTAGCCCTTATCTTTCATTTACAATTTTGAAAGAAGGAAAAATGAAGATTCTACCAACACATTCTAACTTAACAGCTGGACCTCAGCTAAAGAATATGATGATTGGTTTCAGTGTTAACTCTTGCTCTATGAGATGCCCAGGAAAAAGTTTTTTGTTGTTGTTGTGTTGTGTTTTTTCATGTAGATGTGAAATGAGAAACTTGTCTCTGGACTACTGTCTTTTTTGTTTTTGATCTTTTGGAATATAATTGATAAAAATGAGTACAATAATATCTGAAGGGATTTGCTACATGCCTCTTAGAATTTCATTATGACAATATATCTGAAATAAATTTACAACACAAGCAAAGACAAAAATAAAACAGTTTTACTAAATAGATACCCATTCAAAGTGGTCAAAGAATGAGTTGCTAGGTATAATTACATGCCAGGATAATTAAATCTGATAATAAAAATAGGTTTTTATTTTGCAATGCAAAATAGAATTTCTTTTTTTAAATTTTGCTTCATACTATCACTTATCATTCTTTATGTTTATGGTTAAAATATTAAAATACAAAGAAAGTAGAAATATGATACAAAAAGGGAGACTTTTACATTTGAATTAAAAAAAACAGAAAAAAAAAGAAAAACACCTTTTTAGTAATATGTCCCTCCTTTCCTTCTGTTTACATTTTCAGCACTGAGCCACAGTTTAGATACTTGAACATTGCATCAAACATCAGTAATTGTTAGTTTCCTTATGAGTCTTAAAAATCAAATTTCAGATGTCTAAACCTGCCTTGCTCTGTGACATATTGTATACAAGGGAGCCATTTCTACTTGAATTGTTAAACGTCTATAATGGATATATACTGTCAGTTTTGCTGTTGCAGCATAGTATCCAATTTTAGTCACCCATCTGCTAGTGTGGGCATGGTTTCTCATTTTAGTATCATGTACAAAATGAACCGACTACCTCCCTCTATTGTACTATCTTTTGGGCTGTATTTTATTCTAGTGCAAAGCCAAAAATCATAAAACATTTTGAAGTAATAAGTCCTGGTAAAGCTACATCACACAAAGGTTGTTCTTGATAGCAGTACTACTGTAATTCTAGTGTGTTTTGAGGGGAGCTTTCTTTGGGAAGATCATGCCTGACTCTAATAACAATTGATCATGTTAAATTGCTAGTAGAACTGAGCTGTTAATGAATCAGAATCATTCATGCCAGACCAATAAAACCAATTAAATTGAAGGAAAAAAATGAAAAGCGCTCATCAGCATTCTTGAGAGAATAATCAAGTCTGCCCTTCAAAAATATTCATCTCATGACTGGGGTACTACATGGCAGGCATAACAATCAGAATTTTTTGTGATATTAC